TTCGAACTGCTAGGTTGGCAGAAGCTAGGACAAGTAACGGGAGCTCACTCCATTATGCAGCACTAGGGATTCGAACCACCAAACTGCTAACCTTTTTGATCAACAAGCTCGGCGTCTTAGCCACTGAGCCATCACATCCCTTCATACGCGCTACTTTCCAATAAATACTATGAAGTATTTGAACCTGAAAGATAATTACATTCTGATCTACATTATTACTCCATGAGGTATGAACTAGCTTTCCCCCCCTTTTCTTAATAAACCGAACACATTCCCAATATCCCCGCTGGAGACTTGGATCTTCAGATTCTCCTGATTCCCTTAGACTTGTTTTTATTCTCATTTCCTGTCTTTTCCAAAAGCAGGAAATGTGTTCAACAACACCTCTGCAGTGCCCAATTTCTACACTACTTATTTACTGCCTTTCACCATTGCGTTGCGAGCCCAAGTGCTGCGTATTTCAATGTTATCTTTTAAACATTTGACAAGTCAACCTATTTTACTGTGATTATTTTATGCTGGGTTGGGAACGTAACAGTTCCTTCTGGACACGTTGAAGTGCAGGATTTGTAGCATCGTTGAAGCCCTGTAATTTATCACAAAATACTCTAAAGATGCATTTTGGGGCAATGCTCAAAATTGTCCTGGTTTCTTTCCCCCAACCCCTCCCGATATTATCCCAAAACTGCAGGGAGCCTGCCAAAACTCTACATTTTCTGAAGTCACGATAGATACATTAACGCAGACACAGTCACACATAAGCAAAGCTAAGCTTTGGAGCGCCTAGAAAATGATGTGAGATCTCAGTTGGATTGTTGCGTAGGTCACGGACCTCTCTTTTCCTCCCGGCTCTCCAATTTGTCGGTCTGCACTGCAGTGAGGTTGAAAATAAAACCGAAGGTTGCTCCATGCTAGTTTTAATCTATTCTACTTGGTGGTGGTGGTGGTGGTTTCTTTTTTTTCTTCATTTTAAGTGAAACTTTCCATTTTCTTCTTTTCTCTTTACTTTATGCATATGACCCTACATATATCACCGTAAGCTTTTAGAACATCATGCGAGACACGGTTTTAGAAAGCGTGCGGGGGAGGGAGGTAGGGATGACTTCCTCATAAGAAGTTTTATTGGAGCGCTATTGGTTTTAACCGCATTTATTCATTAGCTTTTAGTGCAGAGCTAGATTCATTCATTTAAACCTGTGGGTCTTTTTCTTTTTAAAGATTCCTTTAAGGGAAGTCATCGTGCTGCACTGTGAGGTATTTGCCTCGAACAAAATCTGTCAAAGATTTTGTCATTTGACTACCTTAGATATTAAGGTTTAACACCGATTGAATGTAAAATAATGGTACATTTTTTTCAGTGCAATCCAGAAAGTGTTCTGTTAGAGAAAAATGCGTAGAGCTATGCACGTTGAAAAGGACGCAGTGGCTAACATGCTGAGCTTGTCGATGAGAAGTTCAGCAGTTCAGCGGTTCGAATCCCATGCACTGCGCAATGGAGTGAGCTCCTGTTACTTGTCCCAGCTCCTGCCAACCTAGCAGTTCGAAAGCATGTAAAAATGCAAGTAGGAAAATAGGAACCACCTTTGGGGGGGGGAAGGTAACAGCATTCCATACACCTTCGGCATTTAGTCATGCTGGCTGCAGGACCACTGAGATGGCTTTTCAGCTTTGAAAAAGAGATGAGCACCGCCCCCTAGAGTTGGGAATGACTAGCACAGATGTGCGAGGGGAACCTTTATCTTTACCTTATTCATTTGATTGGCATGGATGTTAAATTCGAGTCTCAGCAATGCCAGACCCATGATGAGGGGAGGATGATGCGCACACGAGTGGTCACAATACAGCATCAACTACCGTAGAGTATCTCTTGCTTAGTTTTTCTGTGCTAGCCCAACTCAAGGGCCACAAAGTTGGCATCACCTAACCAGCAGCCCTGATGTAATTACATCGAAAGGACGTAAAAATGCAAGTAGAAAAATAGGAACCACCTTTGTTGGGAAGGTAAGAGCGTTCCGTGAGCCTTCGGCATTTAGTCATGCCAGCCACATGACCACGGAGACGTCTTTGGACAGCGCTGGCTCTTCGGCTTTGAAATGGAGATGAGCACTGCACCCTAGAGTCGGGAATGACTAGCACATATGTCCAAGGGGAATCTTTATCTTTATGCACATTGAAGAGAATATAGGAAAGGATATTCCAAGATAAATCCAAAATCAAAACTTTTTTCAAGTGCTCTATTAAAAAGAAATACAGATTTGTGTATTTCAAGTAGAAACAAGCCAAAAGGAATCTGAGTGCATTCAAACATGCAAATTCCCTGTGATTCTTTTTAAAAGTGCAGTGTGGGAAAGGGCCTGTGGGTAAAGGCATGCAAAAGTGCCATAAACGGGGGAAAAGATTGATTTGCACTTTGTTTCATTTTACTGATTCCCAACTTAAAAAGGGAACCAGGGTAAGAATTCAAGAACTAGCAACACCACCATTATCCAAATTTGAAGATGAGAAACTGTACATCAAAGACTTATGGCGAAACGGCAAGAATCGAAATAAGGGACGCACAATCGCCTGAAATATTAAACAGAGTTTAAGGAGATGCATGAAACAGGAATACAAATTGTAATATGATCAAAGTAAGAAAGTTAGATACAGATAATCCTTGACTTACAACAGTTCGTTTAGTAACCATTTGAAGTTACAACGGCACAGAAAAAAGTCACTTGCAACCAGTTTTCACACTTGCGACTTACTCTGCAGCATCC